ACGGCAAAGACTAAAACCTTAAGGAAAAAAGGGTTAATCATAGGAGTAATCCCCAAGTTTTTTTTGTCTTTATTATTGTTTGTTTTGCTGACTTTTAGTCTAACCCACTAAGTTTTATTTTATTGCATTCTAACCACTGTTATTTATTTATTTATTGTTATTAATATTCGAATATTTATATGAACTTGTGGTGTCCCAATCCGGGGTATGATCCAAATTATTATGATTCGGACTCTGCTAATCACTAACCACTAACTTTTCTAACTTACTAACATTCTAACTTTTATTTTATCGTTCGAACTAACATTCTAACTTTTATTTTATTGTTCATACTAACATATGACTTTTTTTTTTATTGTTCTTACTAACATTTTATTTTATTGCACAAACTAACCTGTTAATTTTCTAACATTATAATATTCAACGACCTTGCAGTGACCCGCCTTGGGGTACGACCTGTATTATTTATGGTTCAGGTTAAACGGTTAAAAACAACCCCCTAACTTTTAAATTTATGTAATTTATTCCCGTTTTTTATTTTTATTTATTTTTTCAGCACTTTAAATTTTAGTTTTTTTCTGCCCCTTTAATTTTATGCATTTTTATTTTAGTCATTTTAATTTCCAACATTTAATTTTCTGTATTTTCATTTAAGCATCTTAACTTACACCCAGTTTTATTTTAGTCACTGATATTGTCTTGTGGTATATTTATCTCTGATGCCTATACTTTTCACTATTTATGTTTCAACCTTATTTGTTTATCCTCTTATTTGGATGGTATTTTAATCTTGGCTGTTGGTTTATAAAGTTTTCATGTTAGTCCTATGTTTATGCTAGTAGGTTATCGGTTTTGATTCATATTTTAGATTCGAAATCGAACTTGGTTATCTTCATTATTGCTACCATTTTTTTGCACATATCTTAATATCATTATATTATTCAAACTTTATTTTTATATAAATCATCATATTTTTTATAGAGAAAAGATAAATTTTGTTGTGAGGGAAATATGAAGACATCTCCCAACTACAAGGGAATGTGTCTTTCGAATATTTTTGCACAAAAGGTCATTTTATATTCGATGGGTTTTTCTTTATTTTTACCTTATTATCTGTTTTATTTTATTTATCTCGTTTTATTTTTATTTATTTTTTATTTTTATATTTGATAAAAAAATGTAAGACAAGTGTCTTTTGGTGAGGGGAATTCGTGGAAAAGTCTCATAACTATAAAGAAGTGCATTTCCAAGGATTGTTCATACAAAAAGGATTCTTTTTACTCGAGCATTTCTAAACTTTTATAATATTATACTCTTTTAAACTATATCATCCATAAAATTAAAGAAACACCATTTGTAAGGGGAATCAATGAAAAAGTCTCCTAACTAGAAAGAAAATGCATTTTCAAGGATTGTTCGTACAAAATGATGTGATTTCTTATAAAAATAATTGTTTTTTGGGGTTAAATAAACAGCTCTACTCCATAAAATATATTTGTGCTCTTTAATTTTTGTGCCCATTGCATCTATTCTTTGTCATCATATTCTTATTTCGAAAGCAACATTGTTTTAGTTTTTTTTTAAATTGACATCTTTTTAAATAAAATGAATATAAGGATCATAATTTAAATATATTTTCGAGTTTGTAATTTCCCAACATTTAGACATCATATAATCGTTTAGGTACCAAACTTGGGTGTTGTGGGGGTGTGCACCCTTCCCCACACGTAATCTACTCCCGAACTCTTAAAAATAAATTTTTGGTAAAACACATACCATTTTTTCGTCTTTTAATGATTTTTCTGAACTCATTAAAATGATATTTTAGGTATTCAACCTACCTATCTTAAAGGTTGATGGCAACTGTAAAATCAAATTGCTTCAAACCTAAATTTCATCATGTTTCCCTGAATTAATTTTTTAAGTCTAACGAATCTTCGAGGGAGACGTTATGATAGTATCGATACCATTTTTGCTTTCAAAGTTTAAGAAAAACCCCTTAGTATCAATACTCCCATACAAAGTATCGATATTTCGCTTTTGTGGTATCAATACTACATTAAGTATTGGTACTAAATTTGGCTACTGGAATATGACATAAATCATGGTATCGATACTACATCCTCGATATCGATACTCGAGAAAAAACATCGATACTATATGAACAAAGTATCGATAGTTCTCAATCAAAACCCTGATTATTAATCGATTAAAACATTTCTAGACTCCTCACTCGATTCTCATATCATTATTTAATCTCTTTGTAACTCAAACTCTTACTAGCATAAGTTATTTTATTCACTTAGGGCCATAAGAGTAACTCAATAATTTTAGCCCCATAAGGGTAATTTAGTAATTTTTGCCTTCTGAGGGTACTTTACTAATTTCCCATACTCAAGCTAAATGCTCGATCTTAATCGATATCAAACCCCTCACACTAAAGTTTATCTAATAACTCGAAGTCTACTAAATAATCTTTATTGATGATATTAATACCTCTACTTGGGTATCGGTACTAGCCCATAGGATATCGATACTTCCCCTTGAGTATCAGTGCCTAAAATAACCCTGAAATATATTTAACCACTTTGGATATTGATACCAAACGTTCGGTATGAATACCCAATATTTTGTATGAATATCAGTCCATTTGGTATGCATATCAGCCCTCCAATATGGATACCTCTTCATCTGGAATAGATACCAACCTTTCTATATCAATACCAAGAATCCAATATCGATGTCAGATCTTCAGTATCGAAACTACAACCCTTGGTTTCAATAGTAAAGGAGCAATATCGATACCAGTTCATCTAGTATCGATACAGTGACCTAAAAAATCTAGTTTTCACCTAGAATATGAATAATATCAATATTCTTCATACAATATCAGTGCTATAACCCATAAATACAATGTTTCACACGGGAAATACCTTGAAGTCAACCCCAAACACTTATTTTAAGGTCCAAGTTGGTTACTAAAGCTTATAAAAATCATTAAGAGTCATTATACATTATTTTTACACCAATATAACATAAAAACGTCCATAACAACAAATTAAGCATTAAATCCCCTACATGCTTTTCTACCCTATACAAGAAAGCCATGCTAGATAATATGTACTACAAGTAGTAGGGAAGAGTTATAGTATGTTACCTCAGATCATAGCTACCAAAAAATGTCTATATCTTACCCAAGGGCCAACCCTCTATTGGCATTACTCTTTTGGGGTTCTTTGCACCACCTTTCGACCTCCCATAAGCCAACCAACGATTCCAACATGAAAAAGAATGAATACTAGTTGTTAAACAACAACTCAACTACATGTAAATTGAATAGAACCCATGAGAGAAAGCCCTTGGAGCTCAAGCTCTCCCAAACCTTCAAATGAGCTCATGGTCACTGAAAGAGAAGATTGTGAGCTCATTGGAGCTTATGATCCAAGGATCATGAATCTTACTATAGGTTTTTCGAATGAGGAAAGAAATGAAGAAAGGTGAAGCCTTTGACTCTATATCTTGCTTGATGGAGAAGGATAAAAGAATAAGAAAGTGAAGTAGAAGACACAAAGAAAAGATGAAAAAAGAATTTTCATCTTTTACCCCACGATGACCTCACCAAAATTGAATGATATTCAACCTTTTTATTACCCAAGGGTCTAATTACACATTGAGTCCTCCTCATTTTATCCCAAGATCAAAAATCCTTTTTTTATCCCCCAATAAGGCTAATTTTTGATCCGATTGAACCTAAATTTGAACCGATGGACATCATGCTATAACAAATCTATTAAATAAATCTCGTGTCAACACTTAAATGTTGGCTCAAAACTTTGGGTCGTTACAAGTCTTGTAGTATGAAGAAACATCATCCATCAGAGTCAATTAACTCACTCCCATCTTCTTCACCACCAAACATTTTGCCTATGCGATACGCTTTTCCATCTTCATACTAAGAAAGTTCAAGTAAGAAAATAACAAAATTCTAAAAATAATTTAATATCTTAAAGTATAATTCTAAAAAAATTATAATGACTTATGATCATTGTATGAGTATAAATTATTATTATTTTTCATAAAAACTTATCTTTGTTTTTGGTAAAAAGTTTCATTTTTAACAGTTAATGTTTTACGACTTTATAGTTCTCTTTGACTTTTAACATTTAAACCATGAAATGAATAGGGGTATTCACTTATTGATTTTAATCGAATTAACCAATCGAATAGAATTAATTTAGTTAAACAGTCGGCCACCGGAATTAGTTTGATCGAGGAACGATTAATTTTTTCAATATTCGGTTAACGATTAATTCAATTCGAAATCGATTAATAAATCGAATTAATTGAAAATATTAAATATTAAATATTAAATACATATTTTTAAGCCCAAACTCATTAAAAATTAAAATTTAAGTACTTTCCAGTCACAATAAACCTATTAAATTTTCAAAATAGAATAAAATTTTAACCCAAATAAAAAAAAAATTCTTGAGGATTTGACTGGATATGTTTGAATGTTGATAGAACAGTTTCAACGAACTTGGGATTTGGCTATGTGGGTGGTTTACTGCGCGACAGTACCGGTCGTTGGCTCCTTGGCTGTCACAAGTCCCATTCCTTTGGTGAGAGCAATTCATACATTCCGACAATGTGCATGATGGGTCACTAATTTCTTTGGTGAAGGAAATTTTCCAACAGACGCTCGTTGATCCTCTTCTCCTATCATTGAACATCTATAACTTGCTTCTGATTCAATTTACAGTCTCTTTACGATGGAGATAATTTTGAACCATCATATTGTAAGTCTCGTTAAAAGATCTCCCTAAACTTAAATGGAGGAAAAAGTGTGTCACAAACAATCGGGACCAACTTGCTTATCTAACCTGACCACGCACCAAAGGAAGAAAGAAAGACCTGGTAAAGAGCCTTCTGCCTCACCCAAGCTCACCCAATATCAAAATCTGAACTGCACGAACACACCACTTAACAACGCCACTCACAATGCACTCAGCACCACAACGATCCAACCTGAACCTTCCTGAAGCTTATCGAACATGATCCCACCCACAATCCACAGCAACCACTCTGCTAAAATCCTGCACTTTATTGATCCACGTTACACATTAGACATTCCAACAACCCTTCACCTGAGGCCACATAAAACCGAAACTTCTTGAAACTTATGTGGGACGAAAACAAAACTGGAAACCAAAACAGCGAAGACATCAACACCTCCATCTGCACTACTACTTGCTAATGTTCCTAGAAAACCACGATCATCATCTCTATCGCCCACGATTTTGTATGCTCATTAACACCACCTTTCGCACCCATTGAGGCTTCTCATTCTTTCCCACTGAAGCAATACACGTTGAAGTATAGAGAACAAAACAACAACAGATAAAATCAGCACGCCGCAAACTCTTAGCCTCCCAAAAATAACAGGACCGATTCAATAATCAAATCACCATCAATGTCCACCACAATCAATTTTCCTCGCACAGCATCCAAGATCTCTGCAGCTTACATTCAGACTAAACATTCCAGGATCATTAAACCAGAAATAAAGCCATAATCTTTGTAACTCGAAAGAATAACCGACCAATCGGAACCACCACCTCCGAAATAGCATTACAAATATAATTTTAACTAGGAACATTGATAAAATTAGCGGAACGAACACAATCCGTAATGGAAGCACAGCAGAACGGCCACTTGCTCTTACACCAAAAACCCAACCTCAGCATAGGAAGTTCATATACGTACCGGCACTAAAAATTTTTTATTATAAAGGATTTCATTTCGGCACAGCCAAATGTTCCATATCACAGCATAGAATGCCATTCTCCACACCAATTTTGAGGATGATTTTAATGGTTGGTTTTCCCACAGCAAGATGAAATCTCGAACATCACCAGGAATCACTAGGTTAATTTTCCACTGCCAACATAACCTTTGCCAAATCCCCCACACAATCGAGCAATGACAAAAAAGATGAATAACTGATTCATTCTCCTCACTACACCACACACACATAGGGGGATTCGCGACCGCCACGCCCATAGCCGCTAGCTCAACAAGCATCGGAATTCTTAGATGGGCCACCTTCCACACAAAAGCTTCAACTTTAGGCGGATCTAAGTTAGACCAAATTAACTTACAACACCTATCCTCCTCGGATCCATTGCTATATAGGCTCTCATAGAATTTTTTGGGGGAATAGACTCCCCAAGAGGGCCCCAACCATATTAATCTATCAGTGCCCAAGCCACACTTCTTCGCTCTATTTAATACATGGATGAACCCATCCCATATGTCGCAACCGTATTTCGGTAGGGCTCCGGAATTAGGCTTCGACTTAGAAAAATGTGGATGAACCCATCCCATATTAATCTATCAGTGCCCAAGCCACACTTCTTCGCTCTATTTAATACATGGATGAACCCATCCCATATGTCGCAACCGTCTTTCGGTAGGGCTCCGGAATTAGGCTTCGACTTAGAAAAATGTAGATTGGAGTCGCCACCGATCATTTATTTTAAAATAAATGGGTTGATCGGATACCCTATTTCTTACCTGATCTGCGTCTTACCAGAAATATGTCGGGCTCGGGAGTCGGTTACGGTCAAGGAATGATTAGCACCCTTGAACCGCTCTTTCGGTACTACGTAATTTCCAGTTGTCTTAATTAAGAAAAATAACAAGTTAAATTAAAAGGTAAAGTTTCGATCCTAATTACTTACCCTTGATTGATTTGAAAATATCCTTTAAAAAAATCGAGAAATGTGTTAGATAAACAAGATAAAGAAAACAAATAAGATACAAGGGAAAAATAAAATAAATAAAATAAATAAAATAAATAAGTAAGATAAGAAAAAAATACTAAAGTAATAATTATATATAGTAATATTTGAAAAAAGGAAAAAAAATATATATATATATATATATATATATCAAAGTATTAATAAAATAAATAAGCTATATATATACACCAAATACTTAAAAATAGAAAAGCTACCCTCCAAATTCACCGAAAATGGGAGGCTTTAGTAAGAAATAAGACAAAAAAATGGGCCATCTAGGTTAGTAGTATATAATATAATGTTTAATAATAATAATGATAAAGACACAAGGTTTTTAAAAATAATAATAATATAATAATAATGAATAAAAAACGAAAATAATAAAAAATAATATAAATATATAAAGTTATAAGATATTACATAAATAAAGAAATAATCAAATAAAATAATTAAGAATATATATATTTAATAATAGGTATATAAATAAATTATTAAAATTATAAAAAATATATACGACTAGATAAAGATAATTACAATATATATATAGTAATATTAGATTTATAAGTTAAATATTAAGGAAATATATATATATAATAAAATATAGTAAAAAATAAATGAAAATAATTAATATATATATATACATATAATAATAATAACATGAATAATAAAAATAAATAAATAAAATATCCATATAATAAATAAAGGGACTAATATATATTTTTAAAAAGCTATTCCCCTCCTTTAATCGAAAATCAAACCGGTTTTTAAAAATAAGCCTCGGGGTAGATCTAGGTTCGAAACTTCGAAACCCCACCCATTTTGGTTATCGGCGCATCCCACGTTTTGGGTATTCGAACCAAATCTCAAGAAAATAACGTGCACATGCAAAAGAAAGAAAAAAGAAAATGCTACCTTTTATTTCATTTTCGAATCCTTTACAATAGTTTTGCCTTTGTATCTTCCCGTGCTTTCCTCTATGTTTTGTGTGTAAATCGTGTGTTACAATGGTGAGTTACAATGGCTATTTATAGTGCTTGTGGATTCTATCTTTAGGAATTTAAATCTTAGTAGAACTCTATCCTATTTTTAGGAGTTTGAATCCTAGAAAAATTTTATCCTATTTTTAGGAGTTTGAATCATAGTAGGACAAAAATGTGTGTTGACAGCTGCCCCTCTTTGCCCATAGTCGTGTAACGGGGATAGGGAAAAGATTAAAAGACACAGTTTTCGTTCAGTGGAGTTGAAAATTAACTCTGATGTTTCAATAACTCCCTGTCGAATTGAGTTACGGATGACTCCTCCATCGTGAAGTTGAGTTCATCTTGAAATGATATGAAATTGAAGCCGTAGTTCGAAATTTGAATCAGCACGTGGCTTTCTGTTACCCTTCGGTCTTCTTCTCGGTTTAAAGACCTTGGATCGGAATCGAACTCAGAAATCTTCATTGACAGATAGCTTTTTCTTGACTTAAGCTATGTTGTTTGAAAATGGTTGCTTGTCACTAAGGCACGGCTAACCCATGTCATCTTCTCGACTTGAAAACCTCGACTGCAACCGGAAAGTAGTGCGATTGATGTGTCATCGAGCTGAATGGAGTCGAACTCGACAATTTTGATGGCAGATAATCCTTCTTTGAGTTGGATATCCTTCGTCGTGAAGTTGAAATCCAAGTAACTAGCATTGTTCTGAGTCCAATATCCTCCGTCGTGAAGTTGACATTGGCTCTGGAACCGGGAAATAGTTTGTTGACAACCAGCCGTCCCTTCGTTGTGAAGTTGAACTTGTGTTGTCTCGAGTCCAATATCCTTCGCTGTAAAGTTGAAATTGACTCTGAATGAAATTTTGTTGACAAGTAGCGGTCCTTTCGTCGTGGAGTTGAACTTGCGTTGTCTGGTGTCCAATATCCTTCGTTGTGAAGTTGAAATTGGCTCTGAGATTGGGAAGTTGTTGTTGAAAAGCAGCGGTCCCTTCGTCGTGAAGTTGAACTTGCGTTGTCTGGAGTCCAATATCCTTCGTTGTGAAGTTGAAATTGGCTCTGAGATTGGGAAGTTGTTGTTGACAAGCAGCGGTCCCTTCGCCGTGAAGTTGAACTTGCGTTGTCTGAAGTCCAATATCCTTCGTTGTGAAGTTGAAATTGGCTCTGAAATTGAGATGTTGTTATTGACAAGAAGCGGTCCCTTCGTCGTGAAGTTGAACTTGCGTTGTCTGGAGTCCAATATCCATCGTTGTGAAGTTGAAATTGGCTCTGAAATTGACAAGTTGTTTATTGACAACCAGCCGTCCCTTCGTTGTGAAGTTGAACTTGTGTTGTCTCGAGTGTCACAATATCCTCCGCCGTGGAGTTGAAATTGCGGATGCTTGGCTTCGAGCTAGACATCATTCGTCGTGAAGTTGAAATCTATTCTCGAGCAAATTGTGTCATTTCAAGAGAAACTGTCTCAAGGGAGACAAAATTTGTTTGAAGGAAAACATATTCAAAGATTTTGTTAAATTGTTTTCAAAGTTTATGTTTGGAGAGAAACTGTCTCAAGGGAGACAAAATTCGTTTCAAGGGAAACTATCTCAAGCGAGATAAAATTCATTTCAAGGGAAATGTTTTCAATGTTTATGTTTCAAGAGAAACTGTCTCAAGGGAGACAAAATTTTATGTTTCGAGGGAAACTATCTCAAGAGAGAAAAAAAATCATTTCAAGGGAAATGTTTTCAATGTTTATGTTTCAAGAGAAACTGTCTCAAGGGAGACAAAATTTTCTGTTTCGAGGGAAACTATCTCAGGAGAGAAAAAATTAATTTCAAGGGAAATGTTTTCAAGAGAAACTGTCTCAAGGGAGATAAAATTTTCTATTTCGAGGGAAACTATCTCAAGCAAGATAAAATCTTCTAAAAAAAACACCCTTGAGTGAAATGAAATGCCTTCTTTCGAGTGAAAATGGTCTCAAGCGAGACAAATCTTGTTTTAAGACAAAGTATGTTTTAAGAAAAACAAATTTAAGTGAGATAATCATCTGCATTAAATGAGACTGTCTTAAGTGAGACAAAGTTTATATTGGAAATGTTGAATCTGGAGATGAATGTCGATCTTTCAATCTGTCGAGTTGGCTTTTAATCTTATCTTCTCCTGAAAGATCTGTAAAATGTATATGGATGTAACTATCCTGATGATGTATGCTTGATGTATGCCCAAATGAAACTTATTTGCTGTTGAATTTGCCCTCAAGGGAGGAAAAATCAAGGTTTTTATTGCTCATGATGATGAATTCAAAGATGCAAATTTCATGCGTCATGTATGTACGTGTTGATGTATATGTTGAGATGTGAGGGGAATGGCTACGTGTGCAGTCTTCATTCTGACTTAATTTGTCTTCATTTCCACCAGGGTGTACTCTTGCAGACCTCAAGACAATTTTTTCTTCCCTTATCAAATTTTGCCCCAAAGATGGTTTCCTTTGCCTCTGTTTCGATCTTGAGCTTCGGAGTGATAT